TGCTTTTGCTCCCCCCAGTGCTGGGAATGAAAGTGAAAAGAAAGTGGATTTTTCCTGTGCCCATCATGGGTAGTAGACCGGGTGGCCCAGTATTGATAGGAGGAGCCCACAGGAGAGGTAGATTCAAGTCAGATATCTTCTCATTTTTACAGCATCTCTGTTTTCTAACCCCAGTCTGCAAAACTCAGGCAGTGAACTCCCAAGAGATAGGATTTTATTCATTACAATGCCCAAGTACTAAAGTCTGTTTGATCAGGGCTTATCTTACATATAAGTCCTAAAATTTAGCTTGTCTCAATTAAGACAGTGCACTCTTTAAGGCTGAAGTTATTGCCATTTTTATTACTAACAATTCTTATTTGGACAGTTCCAAATAATTTATGTTAGCCGCAACCTCAGACGCAACCTAAATATGTCATAAATCAAGTAAAAATCCCATTCTGAGTTCTTGCTATCATGGGCCACTTCTGCAAGCACACATACTCTCAATCCATCTTTACTCCCAAGTGATGAATGTTCCATGCAATGAGCGTTATTCCTTTGTCAGTAATTTTTTTTTTTACTCATTCCAATTTGTAAGATTCCTTTGGTCATGTCCACTTCCTCTTTTGCGAAAATTAAAAATGTATCTGTTGGGAAAATAAAAAAAAATCTACCTATATGTAAATTAAAATGTATCCACATCTAAATCTAAATTGCATATCTGTTATCGTCTTTACATCATCAGTTCTGCCCAACCTCATCTGTCATCTATATATGATCTCTCATATCGAAATTATATTATTTATCATCTCAATTAACTATCTCTTTATCATCTATCTATCCATCCAATGTATTTGTCTGTTATCTGTCTATCTGATATCTGTCAGCTAATTCTTGTCATCTATTGTATCCCTTTCCATCTGCCTGTAACCTATAAATTATCTGTCCATCCATCTATGCATCAATCTATTTATATCTATCTGTCTATCTATCTGTCTATCTATCTATCTATCTATCTATCTATCTATCTATCTGTCTGTCTAATTTTTCTATCTACCCATAACATTCAGGCTCTCATGAAATTCTTCCCAGTTTGTGAGCCTCACATAGAATCTTATTTCCTTTGCTCCTGAGGATATGTTTGGCGACTGTATTTGCACGATTGTTTAATTGTGTTGGGGCACAACACTTCGTTTCACCTTCACAGATCCACATTTCTTACAATGCTGAAAATCAGAACATTGGCATGAGATTCATGTGGCACATACACATGAGCACACACACACATAGAAACACAGAGTTTATTATGATATGTATGTGGACCTAGAGACTTAATCATTTAGATCACCGTTATAATCCCTTTTTGAGTGCTTGAATCAGTGGTTCTCATGGTGAGGTGGTTTTTGTCCTCCAGCGGTCAGTTTACACTATGCAGAGGTCTTTTTATTTATTATAACTGTTTGGGGAGTACTCTTGACACCTGCTTGGTAGGGGCCAGACTTGCCACAGAGCACCCTAGAAGACAGAGGAGAGAGTCCACTCAACCAAGAACAAACCATACAGTTTACGATTTCTGTCGTGCAGATCTGGAGAAACACTGGTTTCGGATGATGTTGCTTTTCTCCAACTTAGCTGATTTTAAAAATATGAGCAAATAAACAGGTGTAGGGCTTGACTTGTGAATCTCATGAATGCCTAACTTAGAGTTTGTACATGTGAAGAGACATGATGTCCCTTCCCCTTGAAAGCACCTGCTTGATCATTGGTCACTGTCCTTCAGAAGCTTGTGGAGATACCGGATTATGCAGAAGTTGGTCGTACAACTCCAGTCCTGAAGTCTCAGTGTGACTCAGCTTGGCGTGTTATTAGCCCTAAGGGACTCACAGATGTTCTCATCCACGTTGAGTTCGGGAATATAAGGAGTGGGTTAATTTAGTTTTTTAATAATCACCAGAGAAACGCACCCACTGCATTCTACACCGATTGAATGGTCTGTTCTGGAATCGTATGGCACTGTGAGCTGTCTCATTTCATCTCAAAAAGCTTTAAACACAGAGATAAAGTGGGACCCAAAGAAATTACATTAGCTACTCGTCATGGACTGCTGGCAGGCACTGGAACTTGTTACTGTGTCCCTCTCCACACAGCCATATTTTGACCAGGTCAGCCTTTAAACCCTCTACTTGATTTAATATATCTCGTGCCATATACCCATTGCATATGGCACCACTTCCAGATGGGACACACTATTTTATTCACAATCTGTGGAGGTATACATACTCACCTCCTTCTGATCGCAGACACTTTCTACGACCCAGGACTCAGATTTTTAATCCAGGTTTGAGTTAAATAAATTGCGTTTCCTCTTAGGATAGGGAAGGTTGAAGAAATGAAAAGGAGCACTGGTTTCAAAACAGACGGGGTTTCAGGAAAACTGAAAGCTCCACATGTATCATCACTGCTTTCTTCTTCTCCTCTGGCTCTTAATTATACGGAAATTGGATTACTGGCTGGCAGACAACCAAATGCTGTCTGCCGGAAAAGTCCAAGATAGAAGCAGATACATAAATCTCCCATTTGGTGGAATGCTATTAGTTATTTTCCAAGTAACAATCCCAATTTCTAGTGCCTTTGCATTCCATTCTGATTAGCTGTGTCCTGCATGCAGTAGGGTATCCCCCAGTGGAGTGTATGATGGTTGCTGGGTAGATCCAGCTCTGATACGCTTTTGGGTTTTTCAAAGATGGCTTTTTGATATATTCAGCTCCACATTTCAACTGAAAGAAACACATACTCATGGCCTAGTGTGGTGATGCTCTGAAATACCCACAGCTTACTTGTAAGCACGCGTGTTTATTTTGGAGTCCAAGAACACTCTTTTAAAGTAATATTATCCTCTGCAGTGCCTGATGGAATTTCTCTGGCCCCGTCAGCCTGAGGAGATAGCTCAACAATCTGGGTGCTGGTTCACAGCATTCCCCGCTGTGGTAAGAGCACGGATTTATAAGAGGTGCTCAAATCCCCAAAGCACAGGTAAGTGGAGGAGGTGACCCTTTGAAAGTCCACTCCTCCCGGGTCCAACAGGAGGGTGTGCTGGTCACTCTCCTGTTGCTGTGATGCAGCATCCGATAGCCATGATGGAAATGAGGAAAGGTTTATCGTGGCTCAGAGCTTTGCTCCACAGGGCTGGCTCTGGGACAGAAATTGCGCAGTGGAAAGTCACGGTGGGGAAGAGCTGCTCTTATTGGGATTGTCAGGACGCAGCGTGGGAAGGCAGGAGCCAGGGGGGAGACACATCTTTGAGGTCACACCCCTAGTGGCCAGGGTCTGCGTGTTACCTATTTCTGGTCACAATCTGAAGGCAGCACTGGGGGCTTTCCGAATGATCACCAGGCACTGTATTAGTACTAGACCTACAGAAAGATTTCAGAAGTTGAGCTCAGCAGAGGATAGTGAATCTGTTTCAGCACTTCCCTCCCTCAGAGTCACACTCAAACTTGGACTCTGGTGGATTTGGCAGACTGTGGGATGTTGTGTTGAACCGGTCTTTCCAGCAGAATGTCTTTTGCAGCACCCCGTCTCCCGAGCAGGTTCAGCTAAAGCGTCTGAGACAGGAGACCCCGAGTCTCATTCTCCTCAAATACGAGTGCGTCCCCACAAAGTTGGCTTGTGGCAAGGTGCCAACCCACCCGATTTAACACCCTCTTCCTCCCGGAGGACGGACGCCTGTACATGGCGAGGTTAGTCGATGCCAAGCCCCCATCAGAGTAACAGTGCTTGAAACTGAGAGCCAGAAGGGACAGTATGATCTGGAAAGCTGTGAAAGACTTTCTTTCCGTGCCACTGATGATGTATATGCTACTTACCATGTGTCCCGATGCTTGGGACTGACAAGCGCACGCCTAGATTATTCTATCAGCACAGGGCAGTGGCTCTGGGGCAGGGCAGAAGCTTCAGCTCCGCCTTTCACATGCAACCAGAGATTGATTTTTTCTCCAGGCTTTGCTTCCAAACAGCGCCTTCAGCTACTGCACCCATCCATAGCTGACTGCACAGAGGCATGTAGGCAACACTGATCCAACTACATTCCAAGTGTGTGAGCTTCAGAAGGACACTGTGGAGTGGAACCATAACCAAGCATAGTAACTCCAGTGCAGTGTTTGCTTTTTACAAGCACTGCAGCGGGAACTAAGTACCATGGGAGGCGTTAGATAACATAAGTAGCAGTCTGGATATCAGCCTCAGTACTTCTAGTCAAGAATGATGTCAGACTGACAAGCTCTACAGCACATGCCTGCATGCACCATCTTACCTGGGATGGTGGAATGGGACTGGAATCTCAGCTACTAGGGAGTCTGAGGCAGTAGGGTCTCAACTTCAATCTAGTTTGGGCAGCACCGTGAGATCTTGCTCAAAAATAAGCATCAAATGCACTATCTTACTGAAGCTGAGATTCAGGGCAAGGGGTCGTACTTCCTAAATATTAAATTGAACAAACCCACGTGAATTAGTGTCCAAAGTTTACATACTTTCCACTAAATGACTCACATTTTTGTGATATCCGATAAATATTCCCACCTCCTGAAATCCAGGTCTGCCCTAGTGTGTGTTTCCATTTGCCCTACGTCAGGCAAGTCTTTCATTAACTCTTGATATCCCTTTGGGGAAAATGGACAATTTCCTTGAAGGCGTGAAAAGCCCTGTGTTTGAAATGTCTACCTGTTGATCAAATGATCTTATGAAAGATAGAAAATTGGGATGAATCTTTACAGTCACCTGTGGAAAGTTTGTAACTTTTGAGACTCCAATCCACAAGCCCTCTTTGCCTATTTTTTTCCTCAATATTGGGCCTTGTTCTCGAAGACAGGGTGAAAGGCCAAAATGACACATCATGCTCTCTCTAGTTCAAGCTCAGCACTGGACATGAATTTCCAAGTTGGTTCTCATGGTTTGCACGGCACAGGTAGTTGGTGACTGTTTTGACTTCACGATCTCTGTCTCTTCTCTCGTCCCTCTAGGGAGCTTTGGAGTTTTCATAAGGAGTCCAGGACCTCGGGAGGTGTCGGAAGGTCACCGCCTGCTTCGGGAGTGCTGCCGTTGGTGGCGTCTGGTTGCAGGATAGCAGCGGGGTCCTCTTGAGCGATGGGTTCCCAGGAAGAGTGCCATCCTGCTTCATAACTTGTGGCTCTGTCTATGAGCAGCTGGAGAAGCCTGTTCCTCTCGTCCACAGCTGCTGGGTCTCCTGCCCTCCCCCTACGTCCCTCTGTGCCCAGTTCCTGGCGCAGCACCTGGCTTTGGCTTTGCTTCTACTGGAGTCCGCTCCCTCGGACACCCGCACATGTGGAAGAAAACCATGTCGAGGCCCAGGGGACTCTTATGGCTCCCGCTGTTTTGCACCCCGGTCTGCGTGATGGTCAACTCCAACGTTCTCCTGTGGGTAACGGCTCTCGCAGTCAAGTTCACGCTGATCGACAGCCAGGCGCAGTATCCGGTCGTCAACACAAACTATGGAAAAATCCGGGGCCTAAGAACGCCACTACCCAATGAGATCTTGGGTCCCGTGGAGCAATATCTGGGGGTGCCCTACGCCTCGCCTCCCACGGGAGAGAGACGGTTTCAGCCTCCTGAGCCTCCGTCCTCTTGGACCGGGGTTCGCAATGCCACTCAGTTTGCAGCCGTGTGTCCACAACACCTGGACGAGAGGTCTTTGTTGCACGACATGCTACCCATCTGGTTTACAGCCAATTTGGATACTTTGATGACGTACGTACAAGATCAGAACGAAGACTGCCTGTACCTAAACATCTACGTGCCCACCGAAGATGGTAAGTGCTTTACTTGAACCGCAGGCCGCTCGCGCGGTCTTGCTGGGTCGCAGGCAGATTCTCCACGCAGCTTGTGCAATATCACACGCATGGTGTTTTCTTTAACCCGTTTATCTGGTTTCTTTGCTTGCTTGTCTGTTTGTTTATTTCCACTTCCCAGAGCGGTGCCGAAGCAACTTCAGGTGCTTGATTTGCCTTAAACAAGTGTCAGAAGAAAACTAGAATTATATGACCTGAATTATTTTCGGAGGATCGTCTTCCCGCGGTGATAGGGTTTCCTTGCAAGAGCTGATCCGTAGGATCGCGTGCAGTGTTACGGGCTGATACCGAGTCATCCCTGAGGAAGCCAGGCTACAAAGTGATAGGATTAAACACATTACGATTCTCAAATTTGCAGACTGACAGATATAAGAAAAGGTTCTTTCTGTCTCAAGGACTTAAGACGTTAGTACATTGATTGATGGATTGATCTTGAAAGGGAAATGAAGTAATGGTGGTGTCTTAAGGACTTGAGATTTATTTATTTATTCACCTATGTATTTATCAAATCTCCGAAAGGAAGACAAAAATGATTGTCTTGCAATCCCAAACAATAAATATCAAAAAAACAGTAACTGAATTTCATTGTTTAGAATTAATCTTGTTAAACTAAATTTTGGTGTCGTTTTCTTTTAATATTCACTCTAATAAACTAGCAAAGGAGTACAATCAGAGGATTCTAGCTGCATTAGGTGCTCGCATATAGAAATAGTCCTTTTTTATTAAAGAGCAAGGAAAATCTTTCGCCAAAATTTCAAAACATTCAATTTGTCCAAGGCTAGGGCAATTTGTGTGTGAGGATTTCAAATTTAATTTTCTCATGAACACTTGATGAGTGATGTTGTGCTTTCTCTTTTCATTCTAATGCGTGCTATTCTTAGACATAGCAGAAGAAAACCAGACAGTGAAAACGTATTAAAACCGAAAGTGGTCACTCATGGAAATTCTAGGCGCAGCTACCATAGAATTTGCATGTGCCGTTTGCATTTTTTTATGGATACGGTTTCCCCTGTCATCTCTTTTTTTAAATGTATTTTTTATACCTCAATCCCTAGCCGATGTTTTCCAGTTAGATCGGGCTGAAAGCCTGAAGTAAGATGTGCCATTTACTGCACGGTTCACCAAATTGGATGGCTGCTGGCCTTATTCGTTTTCTCCATGGAAGTACCTAAACCAACCAGGCAGGGGCTGAGTGTCACTGGTATCCCAGAGGAGAGCGCGTGGAAAGGAAATGAATTATTATCCCTGGGTCCTGGCACGCTGGGCTGTGGTTATGGTGACCGAGCACAGAATCATCCTGTGAAGTCCAGATCTTCATCTGCTCCATGGAGTTAAGCTGAGATCGAATGCTGCCTTTCTAAGGGTTTCGCCAAGCTGCCTGAGTTCGTGGCTATGCAGCGCCAATCTTGGAAACGAGGGAGGCGCTTCAGATAGGAGGACCCCCGCCCCAGTCTAGGGCACCAGGGTCAGGGCAGACCAACTGGGAAGAAAATGAATGGCGCTCCCACCACGTCGCCATGTGTGTCCCACTGTGTGGACTGAGATCTGAAAAGAGCCGCTTTCTCCATTCTCTTGCTCTTTGCGTTGAATCGGAATCGGGGAGTATTAAAAAAAAAAAAAGCTACCTCATGGGAAAGGAAAAGCAGTCCCCATTTAATAGTAACCCCATCGCCACTTGTTTGGAGTTCCGTAGGCGTTACCAAGCCATCCGTCCACAGGTTTTCTTGAAGCAAATCAGGGGTCTAATAGGGCAGAAAGGGCAGCATGGATCTCCCCGTGCTGTGTATGGACACATGGGAATTTTCTGGCAAAGGTTCAAAGCTATGTGCTGCTGTGTTTGCAGAAAGAATCATCATCTGGGAAACTATTGGGCCATTAAATTAGTGGGATATTTTCTTAATTATACCAACTTGACAATGAATGTGGGGCTCAGGCATTCATTACTGATTCTTTTTGGTACCGGGGATCGAACTCAAGTCCTGGCGCTTGCAAGGCAGGCGGTGGAACTGCTGAGCTAAATCCCCGGCCCAGTGATTGACTAACTGAGCGAAGGAACCCTCGGGGGAAAAAAGAAATCACATGGGAATTTGGTGTCACGGTGATTTCCCCTAAAAATACATCGACCTTTTTATATATTGACCGTATTTCATGTTAGTGGCAGCGATCTAGGAACATGAGATATTTGCAGTTCACCGTTTCACGTGGATACTCCAGCATCCATTTTCTCTTCCTTCTTCCGTTTGGCACCAATATTTCCGTTTCTATTTCTATGTAATATGGAGATGTGTTTAAAAGCCAGATGCAGACTTTCTTCAGTTAAGTGGGTGGCATTAAATTATATAACATGCTTGAGGAAAGTTGTTGGACACGTATTTAATTTTTTAATACTATATGTTTAGAGTACATAATACATATATTCATGATGGGGAACACATATCCCATCTTGATCCTTTTTTCTCCTCCTTCCCCTCCTACCTTCCCCAGACCCCATAAGCCCTTCCCACTTCTCCAAGTCTGTCTGCTTGTTTCCTATCATCCATCTTTTATTTTGCTCTTTAAATATGCATACTTTGGACTTGTTTCCTTGGAAGAAGCCATGCAATAGTTAACCTTCTATGTCAGATTTATGTCACTTACTCTTGTCAAATCAAGATCCACCCTTTTTCCTACAAATGATTCAACTTCATCCTTCTTTATGGCAGTGTAATACTCCATTGCACATAAATACCGTATATCTGCATCTGCTATTCTGTCGCTGCATCTATATTCCCTTTCCAAGATACACCTGTTAAGAGTTGTGCTGCTTTATCCATGGACATGTGTGTAGGTTCACCATAAGTTCCATCTTTTAAGTCTTTCAGGAAGGTTCCCATAAGAGCTATAGCTGGGTCAAGTAAAGTTTCTATCTTTAATTTTTCTGAGGAATCTTCATACCAATTTCCATAGTGACTACATGTGATTATTTCTCACCAGTAATGCATAGGGTTCCTTTTACCTCACAACCCCAAAAGAATTTTTTTCTTTGAGAGTTTGCTGACAGCAATTAAATATATATCATTGCTTTAATAAGCGAGTTTGTAATGGCCAAACATGCTGAACATCTTTTCATGTCCACCTTGGCCATTTTTACTGCTTCCTTTGTGAAGTATCTATTCATGAGGCTATAAGTTTTTCTACATTCTTTATTTACTCTAGATATGAATTCCTCAGTGTTGCCATATAAGAGTTTTATGAAACACAATTTTTCTTCTGAAAAAGAATAATTTTATAGCTCCCATATAAGACAGATCAGGTCTTGCTGAAAGGGAGACTGTTTGTGTAAATGAACATGATGGTCTATGAAACTTTGGTGTTTTCCTTTATAGCTTATTCCTACATTACAATTCTCACCAATTTATTTACATTTCCACGGATGATTTCTCTGCGGGATCCAAATGACAGGCTAACTGAATGACTTAGAACGGCACAGGTAACCTTTGGATAGATGTTCAAATAAAGACAAAATCATTCAACCTCAATCAGGGGATATAGTAGAATTGTTAAAAAGCAAGGGCGAAGCCAGGATCTACATATCTGCATGGTAGCTCTGTGTGTGTGTGTGTGTGTGTGTGTGTGTGTGTGTGTGTGTGTGTCAGAGAGACAGAGAGAACTATTTGGGGGTAGTGAAGCCCAATATGTGGGTGGCTAAGTCAGTTAGTTAGACACCTAGTGAACATCAACTCAGAAAACCAAATCTGCTATAAAAAAATCAGATATCCACACATTGGTTCATATATGAGCAATGACACTGGAATCCATGATTTTTCTCCCTGAAGTGGCAGGTGAATGTAGAAAGAGTAGCTGTTGAAATGCTCAATGTTTTCAGGAGAACCTTGGCTATTATCGGGTATTATCAGGTATGGAAAGAATGATTTTTTTAATGAAACGCTTTGGTATTATTTAGAGGTGGAGTTAAAAAAGTAGAGAGGTTCTATCTGACATGATTTGAGTGGAAAATCAGGAAAGATATCTTACAGTATACTGAGTGGAAGAGAAAAAGCCACACATTTGTCCAAGATGCATTACGAAGCAATAGAACAGGTTGACTACTTCCTATTACATCGTAGAACAAAACGTGTGCCTCCCGACTTGGGCTCAAACTTGGAATAGTCCTGTCTCATCCTCCCAGAGTGCTGGTTTTGTAGGCATTTACCTGAATGTTTATCTTAAGTCTGTCTTTTTAAACATTTCTTCGAAACAGTAGCATTCCAGTTGTCCCCTGTGATACTAAAATCAAGAGGAAATATTGAAGAAAATCAAATATCAGTGAACGAATTATAACGTTGTCTTTCCAGTATTGGAAGGTAATAACACAAATGCCATTATATTTTCTACAGAAGTGAAATTCTACTTTTGCCAGCAATACAATCAAAACTTTAAAAATCCTCAGGTTTTGGTGTGTGAGTGTGTCTGTTTGTTTTTTTTTTTTTTTTTTTTTTTTTTACCTTTTTTTTTTTTTTTTTTTTTTTTTTTTTTTTTCTGTACCTGGACTCCAACTTGAGACCTTGTGCTTGTGAGGCAGGTGGCTGCACCACTGAGCTAAATCCCTGGCCCAATCAAAGCTGAAAGATGTTAAAGGAGCAGTAATAAAAGCCTTGGTATCACTCTCATCTTTTCCATTTCATATGGCTTCTGACGTTTTCAGCTCTATATCTTAGGCCCACACTCACTGAGAACTGTTAAATGAAAGTCTTGGACCCTGAAATAAAGTACGGAAGAGATGTAGACAGCGACCTCCTGGAAGTGGCTGTATGTTCTTTCGGGTTCTCCAGGGGAACAGAAACAATGAAAAAAACTGTTAATATACATTCCTATGTAAGCGCAGAAGGGGATTTCCTAGGTAGACGGACAAAAGCAGAGGCAGGAGCACACACAATGTCTGTCTGCACGCTGGAAAGCCAGGTTCCAGAAGGGGCTTAGCC